TTTTTTTTTTTTTTTTTTTTTTTTTTTTTTTTTTTTTTTTTTTGGTTAATTATTTTTGAATAAAATTTTTAATTTAAAATATCAATTATAAAAACTTTTTATTTTGATTTGGAGAATTTTTCTTGAATATTAGAATACTATTTATATATATATATAATTTTTTTTTTTTTTTAATACTTTTTATTTTTGATATTTGACATTTTTAAACTTTTTTTTCTATAATTTTTTATCTTTAAATTTTTTCTTCATTTTTGTTGTAGTATTATAAAAATAAAAAAAAATAAAATATATACTTTCATTTATATAAAAGTTTAGTGAGATGGATTTATATCTGGTTACTGGAAATAAAAATAAGAAGATGGAAATTGAAAGAATGATGAATAATGAATTAAAAATTGAATTTGTAGACTTTGATTGTTAGTAATTTTGAATCGTTTTATATTTTATTCTTATTTTTTCTAAATACAATAATTTTAATTAGAAAAGGAAAATGTGATTATAATAAATAAATATATATTTTTTCTTTTATTTTATAATAGAACAAATTTTTTTTTCGTTACTTTTTTGTTTTTCTTAATACTTTTATTAATATTGATAAAATTTTATTTTTATTTTAAAAAAAGAAAAACAAAAAAAATGTTCTAATTAGTTTTTAATATATATATATGTATATGTAGTAATCGAAATTCAATCAGATAACATAATAGAGATAAATGAACATAAAGTTAAAAATGCTTTTGAAATGTTAAATGAGAAAAATTCCCAAAATAATAAAAAACAAATTGTTATAACAGAAGATACAGGATTATATATAGATTGTCTAAATTTTTTTCCTGGACCTTTTATGTATTAATATTTTGAGAAAAAAAATAAAAAACAATAAAAAATAAAATAATATTATGAATATATTATTATTTTCTTTTATAATTTTTAAGAAAATGGATGCAAAAAGCAATTGGGTCAAAAGGAATTTATGAAATTGTTTCAAAATTTAATGTAAATTAATATTAATTATATACTTAAAAAGATATATATATATATATGTTTATTTATTTATTTTTATTGAAGGATAATAAATGTCATGCTATTTGTGTTTATTCTATTTATGATGGAGAAAATGTACATTCGTTTAAAGGAGTAACTCATGTATATATTTATATATATATATATTTAAAACTATTTTTATACAATTAACATTTAATTATTTCAAAATAAAATTCTTTTATTAATTTTTTTTACATAATTAAATCGTAAAAAAAAATTATTTAAATTTTTCCTTTTTATTATGATTTTTATTTTTTTTTTTAGGGGAAAATTGTTGAACCAAGAGGATCAGACAAATTTAGCTGGTTTGATATTTTTTATTATTTTCTATAAATATATATATACATAAATATAGATATATATATGTATATTACTTTTTATTTATATAAATGTATATTTATTTCTTTTTTTTTTCTTAAGGGATAATATTTTTTTACCTAATGAATTTAAAAAAACATTTGCTGAAATGACTTTTTGTGAAAAGAAAGAAATTTCCCCTCGTTTTAAGGCATTTGTCCAATTAAAAGTATAAAAAAAAAAAAAAAAAAAAAAAAAAAAAAAAAAACTTTCATGTTTTAATAAAATATGTAAATATAACTATTTACTAGTTATTCTTATACACATAAATATATTTTTTATATTTTTTTTTTTTTTTTTTTTTTCAAGGAATTCTTATTAAAAGAACTAAATAAATACAACACATAATTTTAATTTTTAAATTAAAAATTTTTTTTTTTTATTTTTTTTCTAATTATATATTTTTAAAAATACATTATAAGTAAAAAACTTACTATTTTTAAAACTATATAATTACTTATTACCTTTATTTTTCTTTAAGATTTATAAAAATTAAAAAGAAATATAGTTTTTGTAAAATATTTATATTTTTGATAATGTTTTTATCTGAAGATTTAGACCCAGAAGAATTAAAAAATGAAGCAAATTTAAAATGGAAAAATGTTTAAAAAGAAAAAAAAAAATATATTTATTCAAACATACAATCTTTTTGTTTTTTATAGGGTGAAATAGAAGATGCTAATAATTTATGGAGACAAGCATTAAAAGAATGCATAAAATATTCAATGAGAGGTATATTTATATTATTAATATATATATATATATTTTTTTTTTTTTTTTTTAAATGATTTAAAAAATTTAAGATTTTTTTATTATTTTTGACCTTTTTTTTTTATTATTTTTGACCTTTTATTTTTTTATTATTTTTGACCTTTTTTTTTTTATTATTTTTCATCTTTTTTTTTTTATTATTTTTCTTAATTTTTTTTAGGATACCCAACTACAAAAAATAGAGATATGCAAATAAGTTTGCGATTAAATCTATCTTTGTATCATTTTAAAAAAAATGAGTTATCTGAGTGTATTAATCAATGTAATATAATTTTAGAAAATTTAATGAATCTGAATGATGTCTTAAATTATTATGAAAATAACAAAAATATAGAGAAGGAAATAAATGAAATAAATAAAATAAATGAAGAAAAAAAAGATGATACAATCAGTGAAAATAAATTTATAAAAAAGGATACTCTCATAAAAATATTTCTTAGAAGAGCTAATTCATTTTTATGTTTACAAGTATAATAAAATTTCATTTCATAATTAAATCATTTAGTTATATTTTTCTTTAACAAATTTTTTTTCGCCTTTATATATTATGTGATAATTTTCTTTTAAATTTTTTTTTTTTTTTTTTTTTTTATAAAGGACTTTGATAAATGTAGAGAAAATATAGAGTTAATTAAAAGATTGGATAATAAAAATGTAGAGATGATAGCATTAGAAAAGAAAATGAAAATTGAAGAAGTAGATTATAATAAAAAACAAAAAGAATTATACAAAAAAATGTGTAATACAATTAAAAAAAAAGAAAAAGAATAAGATTAAAAATATATAAAAAAAAAATAGATTTAATATTATGTTGAGGAGGATAATATTGTAAGATTCACAGAATAATAAAAAATTGTGGAATAAAAAATTATGTCAATTAAGAAAATATATTTTCTAAAAATATTTTTTTTTTTTTTTTTTTTTTTTTTTTTCCACTCATCCTCAAGCACATGCATAAATAAATAAGAGACAAATTTTTCTTTTCTACTAAACTTATGGGATGAAAAAATGAGTAAAAAATATATTTTATTTTTATTAAAAGGGAGAAATATTTAATGTAAGTATATAATTATATATGAAAAAATTTATTAAATAAAAATAATGAATACTCCTTTGATAAATTGATAATATTTTAAAAAAGCATATATTATAAAATGTTGTAATATTAAAAATATGAAAGATAATATTTTTTTCTTATTTTAACAAAAATTTGAAATATATTACAGTTATTAATATTATATATGATGATAAAAGAAAAAATGATTGTAATTAATAATAAGATTAAAAATATGAAATTTTGTAATAGTTAGGAGACATAATAATTTTATAATAGAATACAATTCATTTTATACAATAAATGTTTTTTTTTTAAATATTTTTTTCTTTTATAAAATTAAGGAATACATTGAAAAATTAATTTTATTTTTAAAGCATACCTATAAAAAAATATTGTATGCTTATAAATATTTATATGTGTATATATATATATATGAATATATATTAAAGAAAACATATAAAGTTTTAAAAATTTTCTTTTAATATTTCAGAATACATGACTTTCTTTATTACATATTAACATATATATGTGTATTAAAACTATAAATATTATTTTTTATTTTTTATTTTTATTTTGTTTTATTTTTTGTTCCATTTATATTAAAATGTGTATTGTATCTTGTAAATTTTTAAAAAAAATGTTGTTAATTGGTAAAAGTATTATTTTTCATTTATTCAAAATTTTGAAGTAAAAATTTTCTAAAAAAAAAAAATTTTAAATATATAAATGAATAAAAACACTGTAATAATTTATTAAGTAGTATTATAATAAACTGAGAAAAATAAAAATAATTTTTATTAAAATATAGTTAATTGTTTTTTGTAAATAATGAAAAAAGTGCAAAAATGTAAAAAATAAAAGAAATACGAAAGAAGAAAAAAGAAAAAAAATTACTTCAAATTAAAATAATATATTTTTTAAAAAGGAAAATTCAATTTACCTATTTTTTTTTATTATATAACTTGATTTTACATATTTAAAAAAAAAAAATAAAATAATTTACTCAAAGGAAAAAAGTAAATGGGAAAAAAAAGAGTAATGCAAATTATCTTTAAATTGTTATCACTGTGATTAAAATGTTTTTCTATTATTAAAAGTTCAAAAAAAAAAAAAAAAAATAAAAAAATAAAAAAAATAAATGAATAAATTAATAAATAAAAAGTCAGTATTTTATCATATTTTTTTAGTATTTTCACGTATTTTTTTTTTTTTTTTTTTAATCATAGAATGATTAATTTTGAAAAGATATTTTTTAAAATATCTAAGATGTAGAATTAATCAAAAATAAAAAAATACTTCTAAAATAAAGTTGAAAGATTTTTCAATATATTTTTGTTTATAATTATTAATTAAAATTTTTAGTTATATTCATATATATATATATATATATTTATATATAATTTTTTTTGTATCTTTTAAAAAATGATTACATGAAAACATGAGACCTATATTCTCAATAATATAAAAAGTTAAGAAATTAACAAAAATAAAAAAGAAAAAAAAAAATGAATTACAATGGAAAGAAATAATGAGAAATTAAATGAAAAATTCTCTTTGAATAGTTTTAACAAAAAAAATATTATAAATGAACACATAAAGGAAAATAAAAAAAAAATGATAACTAAAAATAATATAATTGACATGATAAAAAATAAGAACTTTTTTAATGAGGAAGAAAAATGTTCTTATAATGAAAATACAATTATAACTAATGAAAACAACATAAATAAAATTGAAAATTCCTTTTTTGTTAATAATTATGAGTCTTTAAATTTAGATTACCAACAAAAAGTTTTTTCAAATGTATCAAAAACAAATGATGAAAAATTATTAAATAATTTTAAAAAGTTTGGACATAATTGTGACACTTTTGAGAAAATTGATAATTTTAAAATACAAAATAATGATAATTTTACAAATGAAGAAAAGGGAAATTTAATTTTATTAAATGAAGAAAATAATGAGAATACTAACAAGAGCAATAGTTTAACTGATGATAATATTAGAAATTACATACATAAAGATTTAAATGTAAATGAAAAGAATTTATTTTATAAAAAAGTTGATGAAATTTTAAATTTAGAAAATGAAAATGAAGATGAATGGATAATCAAAGAAATATATGAAAATAAAAATAATAATAGTGTAGAAAAGGAAGATGAAATATTTTATTCAAAATGTGAAGTGACTAAAGAAAAAAAAAGAGAGAAATATAATAAAAATAATGAAAAAAAAAGAGAGAAATATAATAAAAATAACGAAAAAAAAAGAGAGAAATATATATTGGATGAAAATGAACTAGATTTAGATGAGAATGAGCTACATTCACTACTTAAACAAAATAAATATGAGTTAACTAAATTCAATATTCATATGAGTAATATTATATATAAGTATCTTTATTTATATAAAAAAAAAAAAAGTTTAAATAGAAAATATATAAAAAATAAGAGTTATGAATTCTATCAAATAAAAAATTTAAATACAGAAAATAAAATAGATAATACAAAATTAGAAAAAATTACAAATTCGAAAAATGAAAGTTATGTTGATACATATGATTCTAAAAAATCTGAATTAATTGATTTTAATGATTCATTACAAAATTGTAGTGTTGATTTAAAAAATTCAGAGAAACAGGAAAAAAGAGAAAATGTGCATATAACAGATAAAAATTTATTAAAAGATATAAATTTTTTATATATAGAATATTTTATTAGAAAAAAAAAAATATTAAAATTAAGAAATATTTATAAATTTATTTATGACAAAGATAATTTATTTTATTTGAGAAATTTTAATTATCAAAATGTATATTTCTTAAATTCTATATGTAATACTACTACTACTACTACTACTACTACTACTGCTAATAATACTACTTCTAATACTTCTAATAATAATAATGATGAAAAATGTAGTATTAAGGATATTTCTCACTATTGTTTTAATAATAATTTTTTATGTCTTCAAATGAAAAATGACGAAATATTAATTTTTAGTTTTAAATTATTAAATTTAAATTCTTTAATATTTTTTAAAAATAATGAAAATAATTCAATAAATGAACAAAAAATAAAATTTTATATAGATGAATTATTAAATGATAAGGAAAATTATATAAAATTTGATATTAATTTTTATTCTAATTATTATATAATTATTAAAAATGACAAAATTAAAAATATTAAAAATGTGGATATAAATAATTTGAATAAATTATGCATAACTACAAATTATTGTATATTTATTTATGAATTATTTTTTAATGGTTCTAATATACAGTATAAATATTTATGTTCTTATATTGAGAAAAATAATTTTTTATCTAAAGAAAATCAAATTTTCTACTCATTATTAACAGATGAAAAAAAATTAATATATTTTAGTGATTTTAATATTATTTACTTAAATAGTAATAATAATATTTTTAATAATATATTTACTACAATAAAAGATATAAAATTTAAATTTAAAATATTAAGTATTTCTTTTTATAAGAATTTATTAGTAGTATCTTACTTCAATAAAATATCCGTTTTTCGTGATAATAGTATATATTTTATCATTCATTTTGATGAGAATGGAGATATAATGAATACTAATGATTATTATGAAAACGAGAAAAACAAATATGAGAAACAAGAAATACAAGAAAAAAAAAAAAGCAACCTGTTAGAAGAATCAGAAGAAGAATTATCAAACGAAATTTATTATATACCTTTTCTATGTATATTAGAAAATAATTACTTCTGTTCTTCTTATGGGAAGAAAATATTTATTATAGAATTTACATCTGAAATTAAAATAATAAAAAAATTTTATTTAACTCATTCTATTTATTATTTAAAAAGTTGTGATAATAATATTATTATTATTTATGATAAATATAAGATATATATTTATCAAATAATGTATTTAAGAAAAGATTTTCATTTATATTTATTATATGAAAAAAAAATAATTAATGTAAATAGTTGTGTAATTTCAGAAGGTAAAAAACATTTTGAATCTTATGATAATTCTATTAAAATAAATATTAAAAATATCAAGATTAATAAATATGATAAAATTTCAAACTTTCTTTTTTATTTGTTTAATAAAAATGAGATAAATATAAATAATATTAATAATAATGAAGTTAATTTTTTTTATATAAATTTAATATATATTTATATTTTAAATAATAATAAGATTGATATAATTGTTTTAAATTCATTCATATATTTAATATATCTTTTTTTTTATTATAAAAAGTACAATTTACTTTTAATTCTACTGTTATATATGTATAATGTAAGAAGAAGAAAAGAAAAAAAAAAAAAAAAAAAAAAAAAAATTATTTTTCTTTACATTTTATTATTTTTTTTTTTTTTTTTATATATTAGGGAAATATGTGTGTTCTAATGGATTTTCCATTAAATGAGGATGAAAAAAAAAATAAAATAAAGACAATTTTTTTTTTTCTTTTTGAGATGAAGATAAAAGATATTATTGAAAATTATGATAAATATAAAGGAAATGATATAAATATTATAAATGATTTTTATATTGAAAACAAACATTTAAAGGAGAATTCTAATTTAGAAAAACATCAAAACATTTCATCATTTTCGTGTAATATTGAATCAAACAATTTATTAGAACCTATATCAAAGAATAATTTTTCGTCTATATCTACATCATCTTCATCTTCATCTTTATCTAATCATTCTTCAACATTTTCTTGTATATCATCATCATCATCTTGTTCTAACTTTTCTCTTTCTTCTAATTTAAATGATCAATATAACTGCTCATCACATCATACATCTGTTTCTTCCAATGAAAAGGAATCTAGTAAAAATTCCTTTTTAAGGAATCAAAAAATTACTAGAAAAATTTTAGATTCTGAAAAATGTTATATAAATAAAAAAGTTGTGGATAATACTTGTGTAGAAGAATTACTAAAATTATGTAGTTTAAGTTTAGAATTAAGTATTAAATTTAATATAAATTTATATGAATACATTTTTAAATTATTTAAAGTTTATAATTTAGAAAACATATATTTTTATGCAAGCGAACCATATATTATAAATAAAAAAATATATTTTAACGATTATACATTAATATATAATTTAATTGGTTATTTTAAACGATTTTATAGAATATTTTGCTTATATGACGATAAAAATTATGATTTGTTTTTATTTTTTTATAATTTTATAAATAACAGTAAAAATGATAGAAATAATCGTAATAAGAAAAAAATTATTTTGAATGAAGCATATTTAAATAGATTTATATTTTCAATGAAATTTAACAAAGTAAATAAAATTAGGTTAGAGAATGAAAAATTATTTGTACAGAAGAATGTAAAAAGATCTTTCATGAATTTTGATAATTACTTTGCTTATAAATATATAAATATAAAGAAACGTATAAAAAAAATTAGAAAAATATATTCTTTTATATGTTTAATAAATAAGTTTTGTAAAATTTTTGAAAATATCGATTTAGAAAAAAAAATTGAAAATATAATTTCACTATTACCGTTACATATATGTTCCTTTTTATTTAATAAACATAATGAAGATAAAATAACCATATCAGAATTCTTTACATCTTATATAATTAGAAAAAAAAATATATTTTTTTTTAACTTTTGTAAATTAAACAATTTAAAAAATGAGAATTATCCTATATATATTCCCTCCTACTTATTTAAAAATTTTTATCAAACTCACTTTTTTTTTGATTACTTATATTGTATTATATTTAAACTACCATTTTCAATTAATATGAATAGATATTCTATCAGAAAAGAAAATACACTTATTTTAAAAGATAAATATAAAAATATTTATGAGAATTTTGTTTTCAATAATTTATCTAATTATGATAATATCTTTTTTATATATTCTCATTTTTTTTTTGAGAGAGGGGATTACTGCAATTTAAATAAAAACATTATATCAATTATTAATTATTTATGTAATAGATATGATAAAAAATATTTAAATTCTACAAAAGAAAGAAATTTTTTAAGTGTTATGTTACAAAATAATTCATTTCAAATTAAAAAGAAGATAATTGATGTTGATTTTAAAAAAGGAGAAACATATATATATAAAAAAGAAAAAAAAAAAACAAATTATTTAGAAAAATTAAACAATGATGAAATAATTTTAAATAAAGAGATCAGAAAATGTTATGAAAATGAAAATTTATGCACAGAAAATATAAATACAAAAAAAGAAAAGGAACATATAAATGTAATTGATGAAATAAGAAATACAGATAATGAAGAAAAAAGTATTTTTGAAACAATTAATTTTAAAGATATTAATTTAGACAAAAATGGATTATTTTTATTATTACAAATATCTTTATCAGAATCTTTTTTTTTAATAAATAATTTGTTTTTTTATTATAATTTTATCAATAATTATGATATTATAAATAAGTTAGTTGAAAACATTTGTGAATTTTATATACATTTAGTTATAACTTTAATAAATTACAAGAACAATTTAAAACAAATTTTAAAAGAAAAATTAGAAGAGAATATATCCGATAGAATTTATGAAGAAATTTTGTATGGTATTAATAATTGTTTTCATTTTTATGAAATAAATAATTTTTCAATAAAGATGTCCTATTTTATGAATTCTAAAATAAACATAATCCAAAACGATAAAACTACTGATTTAATTAGATGGATTATGTTACAAATATTTTTCATTAAAAAACATATTTACAAAACGATAAATAGTATAACTTACATGTTAATACTGTTTTTTATTTTTTCTAATAATTTATTTTTTCAATATTCATTAAATATATTTTTTATTAATTTTCTTTTTCAAGTAACTCTTTTAAGAAAGACAAAAAAGGCTTATTTTAAAATGTATAAAAATTATCGTAATCAACTTTTAATTTATAGATCAAATAGTAATATAGAATTTTTTTTTCAAACTTTCGGATTAAAAAGGAAAAATATATTTATAAAAAAAAAAAGAGTTGAGTTATATTTTATAGATAGTGATTTATTTTATTATAACATAATAAATTACATCATGAAAACAGTTTTTTTCTTTGATATAAAGAATATATTAAATATGTGTGATGATTATAAAAGAAATACTAATAATCATATAGATAATAAAGATAAAAAAATAAATGTCAATAAAAAAAATAGAGATGATGAAGATATATATAAGGATAATAGTACCACATATAATAGTAGCATATTTAAAAATAATGAATTAAAAAATTATTCTTCTTTTAACAATATAAATAATATAAGAGCAAAAAAGAAGATAAAGGAAAAACATAATAATAATAATAAGAAGAAGAAGAAGGAGAAGAATGAGAAGAAGAAGGAGAAGAATGAGAAGAAGAAGGAGAAGAAGAGTAATAATAATAATAATAATAATAATAATAATAATAATAATAATAATAATAATAATAATAATAATAATAATATGAGTAATAATAATTTATTTACAATAAAATTTTGCAAAAATAATTTAAGATATATTTTATTATTATATGTTAAAAAATTATTACTGTTATGCGAAAATAAAAGATTAAGAAGAGAAAATAAAATAAAGAAAAAGGAGATTGAAAACTTACTAAAGTATATTTTATTTTTTAGTTGTAATAATAAATATATAAATATATATTGCATTATACTAGATTATTTTCATTATTATAATATATTATTTGATTATTATAAGAATAATAATGTAACTAATTTACATGAATATATCTATTATAAAATATTTTATTATTTTAAAGAAAAAAACTTAAAAAAAAAAATATATGGGTATCTTTTTTATACTGATTTATTGAAGCATATCAACATATTTAATGATTTATTTATTCGTTATATTTTGAATAATTATTTTACTTTTCATAATAATATTAGAAGATTCCTTGAGAAAAAATTAAACAACAAAAAGGAAAATTTTATGGAGAAAAAAAAAGAAATATTTAATAACGACAGTGATAAAATAAATTCTTATAAAAAAAATTTTTTTGATTTTAAAAAAAGTGGTAATTATAAAAATAATAAAGAAGATGATAATGATAATAATGATGATAATGATGATAATGATTTTAAAAAAAATCCAAATAATAACAGTGTGAATAAAAATATTATAAAAAAAATAAAGAAAACAAAATTAAATGATTTGACATATGAAGATATGAAAAACTTTAACGAAGAAATATATAATGAATTTAGTAAAAATGAATATAAACCAAAAAATGTAAATTCATTGAAAGAAAAAAATAAGACATGTACTAAAATTAGTATTAAATTACTTAAAATTTGTAAATTTTTTATCAACAGTTTAATTCATTCAAATAATTTTTCAGATAAAGTAGAAAAGAGGGTATATTTTTTGTTACTATATAAAGTAGATTTACCAGTAATAATAAAAAGATATTTATATAAGAAAATATTTTATAATTATTTAGATATTCTTTGCAGATGTGAGAAAGAAAAGGTATATAAATGTGTTAAAAATATAAATACAGAAGATTATATAAATCTATATAAGAAATATAATAATATTAACGTAATATTATATATTTATGAGAAACATGGTAACTTTTTAAAAATAATAGAGTTGTGCTTAAAGGTAATAAAAATTAATATTTTAAAAATTTATGATACTTTTAATAATATAAATAAGTGGAAATTTTTAAAAAATATTAATTATGATGATGTATATTATATTAATTTTTCCGATAAAATTGATGTATATAATTATTATTCTATGCCTTTTAAAAAACAAATAAGGAAGTTATTTTTTAAAAAGGGAGAAGATAAACCAAAGTATACAATTCAGAAAGAATCATTTTTAAAAGAGTTATTAAAAGATTTAAATTATAAAAAGGAGGTAAAATTTTTTTATGATTATTTTGTAAATAAATATAAAAAAAGTGTGGAAAAAGAAAATGAGCAAAAAGAAAAAAAGGAAAGTATATTTGCAAAAAAATATGAAATAAATAAACTACAAAATAATTCTTATGAGACTATATATGATAAAAATGTTTATAAAAGAAATTCAAATAAATGCATTGATATAGGAACTTTTAAAAAAAAAAAATTTCCAAGTTGTGATAAAATTAAAGAAAGAGATATGGTTGAAAATGACTTGAAAGATTATTTAATAAAAAAAAATTATGATTTAATTAACTCTTATTGGATATATAGCATAGAAGAATACAATTCAATTTTTTTATACATTTATATGTTAACTTTTGTTTTAAAAAAAAATAAGTTAGCTAACGAGAATATTAATAAATATATAATTTTTAATATCATTAATGAATGTCTGAAAAATTATATTAGTATAAGTGGAATAGTAATGAATGAAAATTACAAAGTGTTGTTTTTTAGTTATTTATTTGAACAAATTATATTGTTCGTAATTAATATATATTCATATAGTCATACGCATAAAATATGTAAAAGATTATTATTTATATATAAAAAATTTAACATAAAAATAATTAAACTACCATTAATTGAAGTATTAAAAAATATGAATGATATATATACCTTTTTCAATGGGAATTATAAAATAACTCAAAATAAAATTAGACAGCAAATTAAAGATTACACATATGAAAAGAAAAAAGGAATGGTAATAAATTTTGATATGAAGCATAAACATTGTTTTAATATCCATTTAAATACAAATAATAATAATAATAATAATAATAATAATAATAATAATCCAAAAAAGGAAGAAACAAATAATGAAAAATATTATTCTTCTAATGATACTATTTATATTAATAAATGTGAACACCATCACCATTTTTCATGTTCACAATTATGTTATTTATGTGATGAATTTAAGAAAAAAAAAAAAGATTTTTAATTAATATTATCACATTTAGTTAATTATTTTATTTTTTTTTTCTTAAGATATTTTTTATTTCTGTAGTCTATTTATAATTAGCATATATATATTTATATATTGTTTTTCATATTATTTTATAATTTTTTTTTTTTTTTTCTGTGTTTTTTCAAATAATATTTTAGAATATTGATTTTTAGTTATTATATAAATAATTTTTTTTTTTTTTTTTTTTTTTGAAATAAAATAAACATACATTTTCTAAAAAATATCAAGACAATTTTTTAAATAAATTTATTATTATAAAAAATATTTCCATAAGAAACCTATTAAAATATTAATTAAGCTGGAAATGTATCAGTTGTATCGAAATATTAATCATTTTAAATAATTCATTTTTATTTTTAGCTAAAAGGTATATATTTGTTCTCTAATATATTTTAAATATAATTAAAAATTGTATATCTTTTTTGTTTTACATATAAAATTCATCTGTTTAATTTTTTTTTTTTTTTTTTTTTTTATCTTCATATAAATATATATTATAAAAAATATATTTTAAAAAGATGACATTATATTAAAGTTAAAATGTTGCTTAATATGCATCTATTCCTTATTATTTTGAAGAATATTTTTCAAAATTCTTAAATGTAAATGCAACCTTATATTATGAAATACTAATTTTATTTGTAATTTTTTTTAAAATCTGAATAAAAAAAATAAAAGAAAAATAATTTTGCTACTAAAATATATGCAAGATATTATTTTTATTTTTTTAAGATTTGAAATACAAATATTTCTTATGCACCTACTTATATATATTTGTTTATTTAAAAAAAAAAATAAGAAAATTTGAATACATATATTTACATATCTCTTAGAAAATTTTGAATAATGAAATAATAAATTTTTTGTTAAATTTATTTTATATTATTTTTTTTTTTTTTTTTTTTTTTTTTTTTTTAATTTAAAAATTTTT